CTGATTTAGCATGGACCATAGATAGCCAGCATGTGGTCCGCCAGCTTATACACAGACACCTCCTCCGCAAGGCAGAGAGGAGGGGGGAATTTCTGCTTAGCAGGCAGTGGTGAGGGGGAAGGCGAAAGCAGCCCGCAGTCTGTGTTGGAGCTCCAGCCAGGTAGCAGAGGGGAGGGGAGGGGACAGCCCTGCTGTGGATCAGAGAGCCATGCCCAGCCCAGATAGCATGCTGGGATGCTGGGGGACTCTGATTTAATTTAAACCAGCAAGTGGTCTGGGACAGGCATTGCATAAACCGGTTTGACTCAAATCAGTTAAGTCTGATACTACATTCAATCAGGTTTAGCTCAAACCAGTTTCAGCCATTTTCAAACTGGTTTATGTGTACTGAACATCTGTTCTGTTACAGGTTTAAACTAGTTTCTGATCACTTAAACCAGTTTATGTGTAATGTCTGTCTCTAGCCAAGGAGTCAGCATATACTATAAGGATGGAAGGAGCCGACCAGAGATGGGGCCATAATCTGTGTATGAAAACTGTCAGCAGACATAATATCTCTCCTCAGCAGTTCCCTGCTGGTGGTATCAAGACAGAGCTGGTGCCTGGAAATTATCTTTCAGACACTGATCCCCACAATGCTCACAGAAGCAAACGTGGCAGAAATAGTGCCTTGATGTATTGAAAGGTAATGGACTGACAATGGCTCCCTCCAACTTGCTAAATTTAACTCTACACACAAATTTGAATCAAAGCAAGAACTTCTCATCCATCAGCTGCTCTATGCCACTGTCATCAGCTCAGTGCAAGCAAAACTCCAAATGCCCAGTTTTATGAAAAGAGGTCTCTAAATTCTTGTATTTTTGCATGAAGTTTCTCTGGACAAAAGCCATTACAGCACACCCAAAAGGAGGAAGGGAACGCTTGTGCTTCCCCCTTCCAAGGACTGAAGGTTATTACTTAGAAATAAGCAACTGCCAAGAACAAATTCCCCCACCCACCACCCACCCCCAGCTTTGAAGTGTTTTCTTTTTAGCTTCACCTTGGCACACTGGCCAAATAAGTCACAAGTTTCCGAAGGTCTTCCTGCCTTATTCTGTCGTGATTGCTGCGTGCTGGGAAGGTCAGGATGGGACCACCTCGTTTATCACGGCCACCTGCAGAAAATAAGGGATTGTTAGAAAATCAGACAGGAAGCACACATCCACAAAACCCGTATGTGCACTGAATTGATAAACTTAAATTACTGCAGGTTCAAGAGCTCTTGTTCACTGCCAGATTTCAGACTTGCTTAATTGAGGAAGACGTTCTCACATTCACAAGAGCTCCAAGGAAAGAACAAAAATGCAAAGAAACTTGTTACTCACATTTCTTTTTCCCTTAACTTAATCCCATCAAATCTCCAATATAACGATCAATGCAACTGGCCAATGCTAATGAAATCCTATTGTCATGGGAGAGTTTTTTAATGTGACAAAACTAGAGGAGCTGAAATCTTTTTCCCTGTTACCTGATCTGCATTGCTTTTCTAATCCCTAAGTAGCATTTATGCAGCAGGACATTTTAATCTATTTAGCAATTACTTAGAAACTGAAAGTTTAATTAAAAGCTGATATATGGCTCCTATGGATTCTTGCTCACAAGGTACAGTTGACAATCAGCAAGTGTTGTGGCTTTGGTTTACTTTGTCTTATGGGCAACTTCCTTTCCTTCAAATGCACTGCCTTTGGAAAAAATCCCTTGCAACTGCCAGTGTCTGGTATGGAACCTGTTATGCAGTTTGTAACTGCAAAAACATCCCAGACATGCAGGCACATGCCTACAGTGGCTCAGGCTAGAAGCCAGAAGGGCTAGAGCAGCCCTCCCTTCCCTTGCACAGTACTGAGCTGAGGGGTGGCATGGCCAAGAATCTTACAGAGATTCTTGAAATACATGGTGTAAAATTTTAAAGTGCTATTCAATGATGCTAGCCCAAATTATAGAATCATAAATATGACAGATAAATAGAAACTGTTGGAGCATCTTCTTTTATTTGCCATTGTTAATACAATCTGAACATCTTGACACCAAAACTGATTTCTTCAACCACCATTTTGATCTTCCTTCTTATGCTAGTGTAGTGTTTCTCAGGAGCTGTGAAAGGTTAGATTTTGTGTGCGCGTCATTTTTTTGTGTTGTTCAGGAAGGAAAAACACAAAATCATTGGGAAGCATAAGTCAAAAAAATCATCGAGAGCTGCAGTGATTGGAGATATGTAATATGGAGGTAGGTTGAATTCTGAGCTCCCCCACAGGGAATATTATCCCTTTAATAGAAAAATCACTTCTGAGAAGGGAAATCACATGGTTCTGTGAACTAGATCATTTGGCTGAGCCCGAGGAAGAGATTTGTAAGGGCAGGAACATAAGCACCTCCAAAACACACACCAGCTCATCCTCAAAGGGCCTAATCCTGCCAGGTGCTCAGCACTAACTCATCTCTGCAAGGATTTCAAGGGTCATGTACACAATTTTTGGATAGGAGGAGAGTGTCCCTGAGGTGCCCTGAATAGAGTTCAGAGATTCTTAGGTAGGCCTGTCATGGGACAGAGGTTAGAAGGAGAGTAAAAGTGGAGCATGGGAAGATAGTTTAGTGTTTATAGGGAGTGTTCACATTACCATGACGTTCACGCCATGCACTGTAGTCAGCCCAGCTCTGTCATCTGCTGGTCCATCTTACCAAAAACATTCAGAACCCAGGGCACCTCAGAGCGAACATAAAGAAACCCAGGAATACAACGACGATGCTAGGAGCTCCTGGAGCTGATAAACCAGAAACAAATGCCCAAAGGCACTGGTCCCACTTGCTCCAGGATATGCCTTCAGTGGTAATTAGGGTTGATATTAAAGTCACCCACAAGCACATACCCATCGACCCCATAGCTATCAATCCCCTAAATCTAGACCTCAACAGCAGCCCACAATGAGCTTGGACTTCTGGGTATGAGGTTGACCTTGACGCTAACTGCTTCCCAGCCTATCTCTTCCCACCATATGTTTGGCACTCACACCACATGCTTTATTCCTTGTTTCCACCTTCTAGCCCTTCTGCCCCCCACTTCATCCCTACTACCCAGAGGGACAGACAAGTAAATCCACAGATCTACTGCTGGAAGGGGTATACCTTACTGTCACGATCAAGAAAAAAGAAGCATGGTGTGGGTGGTTCTGATGTAGTCTATAAGGTATCATAGATAGATAGATAGATAGATAGATAGATAGATAGATAGATAGATAGATAGATGAGGAGCTGCTGGCATGAATTAGCCAGGTGAAAGCCCTAACCACATCACCTGTTGACAACTAACCTCAATTTTGTTTCAACTGGCAAGACTGTCATGGACCTGAAAAACCTTTCCTGACAGAAGTTGTGTCAAAATAGGCATATTTCTGTGAAAAGTATAAATTTTGACAAATTAGAATTTTCTGATGAAACATGTATGCCGGCAAATTTCCACCCATTCTAACAGCACCTCAAGGATTTTTAGCGAAAGCTGGGGAAATACAGGCCAAGTACATTTCTGGCCTGTCTGTGTCAGTCTGAAAGCCCTCCCTCAACAGTTCATTTAATTGTCCTCAAGGGAGCAGAACAGATAATACCACATCACGTGGCCTGATGTTACAAGGACGGGTTGGAGAAAATGGGCTAATTCTCTCCAGAGAAGTGAAGGTTACGTGATGACCCAGTTGAAGTTTTGTTGTTGTTGTTTTTTTATCCAGATGATGGAAGGATTAAAAAAAGTTGCAATTCTTTCCACTCCTGCAGCAGGCAGGAACAACGAGGCAGATGGAAAACGATGGGAAAGCTGAGCTAAACAAAAGTTTAAGATCCAAATGATTTTCAGGCATGGTGAGACTGATAGGAGCCAGCCTGTGTAACTGGGCAAAATGTTCATTGTTAATAATATCCTGCAAATTTTTTTGGTTTGTTTGCCAATTATCCCCACACACTCCATTTTCTATGGATCTGTGCATTCTTCACAATTATTTGCCAAATAATTTGTAGGAAAACATTTTATATATTAGTGATTCTTCCCAAACAAATGTCTATACTAGAGGTACGCAACCTTTTTAAATTCAAGGCACCACTCTGGAGTTGCCACTGTAGTTTTCCCTTGTTTTTTGACCACCCAAAAAAAAAAAAAGAATAATTCCTTTGTTGCAAAGAACTCAAAGATCATGCAGGTCCCAATGTTTTTAACACTATGGATTCCTATTTGAAATCACAGTGTTTATTTTGTGAATCAAGTTTACACATGAAATAGTGCTAACGTTGCGTGGCATCCCGGGGTCCCTTAAAAGCACCTCAAGGAACCCCAGGGTGCTGTGACACCCGGGTTAAGAATCGATGTTCTATACATTCCTGTGTCACCTTAGTACTTGGGGAATCACCGGTTACTATTAGGAAAACGAATAAAACTTAACTTTTGTTTAGCACTTTATATCCACAGGTCTTAGAGTGCTTTGCAAAGGATGCCAAGTATCATTGTCTGTGCATTATTGACAGAGAAAGTGAAGCACAGAGAGATCAAGTGATTTTCCTCTGCCTAGTAGATCAGCGGTAGAAATTAGAACCAGTCCAACGATGTATTGTGGAACTCATGATTGTTTTCATGGGTGGCTAAAAGGTCATAACTAAATGTGGCACAGAAGTCCTGTCTGCATAAAAAGTACTCACCTACAGAAAAAATCTGGCAGCAAGCCACTTTCTACTTGGATGCTGTTTCCTATGCACAATGGATTCTCCTTGAGCCATGCAAGAGATCATTTTGAAGGAACAAAACGCAAGGGTGAGTACAGAGTCTTGATTGCTCTTGTCAATATGCCTCCTCACCTGCATCGCACTAAACGGAGAGGTATGAGAGGCAGTAATCAAGCATGTCATTATGCTTGCTAATTACATTTATTAAATGCTAAAACCAAAGCTTGATATTTCCAAATTATTTTTCAAGATGGGGTTTATAGGGTTTGTATTGATTTAGAGAGATAAACAGATGGCCTATGGTTATTAGCACTCTGGGAAAAAAGAATAGGAGAGGAAGATGTGTGGGTGCAGAAGGGCTTGAAAACAAACATTTCACAACATACGTGCCCTTTCCTTTGCATACCTACTGCAAAATCCAATGGTTTACCCTTTACCATACCCTTAGTAGCTGCACCATCCTCTTCCCTGGCCCTCTCGCCTCCCCCTTTCCTAGGCTATGCCGTTGCTGATGCTAAAAGTCAACTTCTGTTCTTGAGGACAGAAAACCACTGCTGTCTACTAATCCTGGCTTCCTCCTTCTGCATCAAATCCAAGCTAATCGTGTCATGACAAATTTGCTCGCAGCACCTTATTCCGATACTAGATACCTTTCTGTGCTACAGAGTACCAGGCAGTGCATGGGTCAAATAAAAAAATTAATGGGCAACCTATTCCTTCAAGCTCCACCTCCCGCCACGAGGTTCGGACACTACAGTGACAGGCAGATGCCCTTACGACAGGTATTTCAACAAGGAGTCTCCACTGTTAGAAAGCCAAACAAAATAGACCTGTCTGGTGGCATTTGACAATGGATGCTGATGGTGCAAGACAACCCATTTCTACCCAGCAGTGAATGCCACCAGTGAGGGTCTCTGGCCCCCATGCTAGGAATCACATTTACAAGTACTGAAAATCCAGGCTGCAAGCACTGGGTGCTATGAAGTTTTCTGATCCCTTGCAAGATGTCCAAGTTGCCTAGACCCCTATGCACTATCATCTGTGTACAAGTTGGGCAGGGCGTGTTAATCTGGGGCTGAATCGTTCCTTCCCTCCGAGCCTTGTGACACCTGGCACTGTGAGCTGCACGACTGTCGATCGCTGTTAGTGGTAGCTTGGAGTTTGGAGCAGTCGCACCCTTAGTCTAGACACCTTCTCTGTCCTGCATGTGCACACCTGTGACTTGTCACCAGGGGCCTGGGGAGCAGGGGCAGGACTAGGAGCTGTAGCTGTGAGTTGCCACTACAGGGCTGGTGAGCCAGGGCAGACTTCTACCCCTGCTCTACAGGTGGGCGTGCGAGAGATCCTGGGATACTGGAGGATTTCAAGTTGGACGGCACATTGGTGGGAAGCGGCCACATCTTAATGGAACAGGGGC